TCTGTAGGAAAACACTGTAATAATCGTTCTGTCTACCACTTCTAGGTGGAAACCAGGCTTGGATTTTAGCACAGGATTCTCTTGGACTGCATGGACTCTGAAGTATGGCACATTTGTCCTTAGCTGGCACATTAGCAGGTTTTTTTCTGTCCTTTGTGTAGGTTAGGAAAGAGTGTTGTTCACGAAGGTAGATACGGATGTCTCAGGGCACATGGCATTTTGCTTTTCAGGTCAAGTCTCCCGAAGAGGTTTCCTGGGCTGCAGTTGGAAAGGACTTGGATCACCTTAAATTGAAAATTCTTTGGATGGTGTTAAATGCTTTGCTGCTGTATTTGGAAAGATTATAAGTTGCCGTGCTGATTGGTTGCAATATTCATTAGAGAACTTTCTGAGAAAATACACTCAGTGAGAGAAAAAGGTGCAGTAGTATCATGTGAATGCTATTAGGAAGGGTTGAACAGCATTATCTTTCTGTCACAGTCCTTAAAGAATCTCATATGACTAGGTAGTACTGGGCTTCTCGTTCTGAGCCAGCTGGAGAGTGGACACGCAGCAGGATGTAAGGAGGCGCCAGAGGTTCTACTGAAATGATTTTTATAAATAAGTGTAGCTATGTAATCATTTGGTTAACTTGTTATTCGACCAGTGCAGTGCAGTCTCTGGCCTTAAATCCAGCTTAGCATCTTGATATGTTTCGGTTGCATAGTGCTACCAGCGAGCTGACTCTTGTTTGACATATTCAGCCATTTGGAAACTTATTTTATGTTCAGAAACTTACTTCACGTTCAGTCATCGATGTTAGAGGATGCAGTCATTTGAAAAAAATAAAATAGGGATTTGGAGTCAGAAAAAGGAAAGAATCTGGTTGTCTTCTGGCAAGTTTTTTGGTTCTGGTTATCTGCAAAGGGTACACCTCTTGTCAGCATAAATAGGGAGTGCCTGTATAAACATTCTTGTTTCGCCTGTTCCACATAATAGTTTCTTGTATCATATTTCTTTTGACCTCGCTATCTGAAACCAATTACAGGAGATCCATTTGGGCTGCATCTATTTTCATAAGAAGCCCAGGCAGCAGTGTTTTTCTCAGAGATGAATATCAACATCAAATATGCTTCTGAGTGCTTTGTTATTTATGTTTCAGAGAGATTTTGTAGCCTTCAGCTCTCAAGAATGTGTCACGCTGTGCTGTTTATACATTGACGATATTAATGGGCGTAGATGTCATTTTTCATTTTAACGTCTCAAATGCAACAGGCTGATAGGTTAAACATTCCTATTTTTAAAGGAAAGATATGAGTGACATCTGTTCCAAAAAATACACATATATTTATGTTTTAAAGGAACAAAGTAATCAGTTTACCTTCTTTTATTGGCAGCTTTCACTTTATTAAAGTGATAACTCTTTAAAAATTATTTTGGGGCATGCTTAAATTAAATAAAAAGGTTTGGAATCCAAAATAAAATCAAATTATATCTCGTAGAATTATCTCTCACAAACAGTAAAATACAGCACGACTTATCAACTCCATTAGGGTGAATTATATGCAATTAATTTCATTTTTGTTCTGCTTACATTTTAGCTATATGCCAAAGCTCTGCAGAAAATAGTAAGAAGTAGTGTTCCTAATAAATATTTTACTGCAAGACACAGTGAGTTCTGGAAACCATATGCCCAGATTTCCTGCTGCATATAACCATTATTTAGAGTATTATAATGATTTTCATTTGCATTATTAAAATCATTTCTAATCCTCAGTTCTTTTTATTGTTTTTGTCTACACTGGCTTCTTTTCGTATAGTTTTACTAATTTAGATAACTTAATTAAGGAAAAGTGCCCACTAAATTGGAAACAAATGTTATTGGAAACTGGATACAGTTTTGACTGCCTCAGAATCCCTTCTTGCTGCTGTTAATTTGAGGTAGGACTCAACATTATTCTGATGTGCTCAATTTATAAACATCTGTTAGTTTGTTTTCACTTGAACCACTTTTAGACCACAGGGTCTTATCAAATTAGTTCACAGAAATTTCTAAATTATATGTGGGACTGGTGCTTATTGGGAATGTACATGTAAACTCTTAATTTTGAAAGACTTTTCTGAGTTGTCAGTTTGTTTTGCAAAGATTTAATAGCAGCAAATGGATTGATAGAAGTGAAGGCTTTATAGTTTCATAGTCTTTGCTGCAGGACAATGTCAATCATAATTCTTCAGAATTAACCAAATGTTTCTGAGAGGTTGTTTACTGAGTAGCGAAATCTAAAGCTAAGCAGTACATTGGGAGAAAAAAGTACCATGTGATAACTGCTCTTAGAACAAAGGCTGACAGTGATTTCTCTTTATGAGTTTTAAATCATCTCTGAGCTTTTGAAATTGTTTTCTGTTCGTGTTCTATCTCCTGTGTTTACAGTAATCTAAACTGCCACAATAAGATCACTGAAGTATTCAGTAGTCATCATTTATAAGACATTCTGTATTAAAAGATGAGCCTTTATTCCTTTAAAGATATCCCTACCAGCACATATAAATCAAAATAGTTTAAGTAGTAGAGCCTTTTATGCAAACATATCCTGGTGTGCCACCTTTCTTTTTCATTTTGTAGCTGGTGGTAGGAATTCGTGCTTTCGTATACTGATTCTATGCTAGCATGCTAGCCATGATTTGAAATTATCCTGGCGAGCTTAGATCTAAGGCACATCATACTCTAATTCTCTCATTTTCAAGTACTGTAAATGTACAGCTTTGCCAGATGCTGGCTAGCTTGCTTTTGTACTGATGTGAGATGACTTTGCTTCTGAGGAAGATTAGCACACTGAAACAACTCCCAGACTCTTCCAGATACTCTGAAGTATGCATCAGCGCTATGTCGTTATGTTTTTATTACATAATTTTCCAGATAAATTCCATGTAATGAACTTCCTGTTACTGCCACAAATTAAAAAATAAATATATTTTTATGGCTCTTCCCATCTTCTTTAACTCCGGATCCCTTCACTTGTTCTTGTGGCAGTATTGTCCTGACTGGTGAGGCTGGTTTTCCTGTACGGTCTCCTATTAATTCAGAGGTGTAATTGTTTTCTCTCTTTAATTAAAATTTCCCTTCCAGACAGTTTTAAAGATTGGGAAGGATTATAAATTCACTGTAGATCTTCTGTTCATGCACTTAATCCATGTTTTGTGTTTATACCACTGCAAGATGTTGGGACCAAATCCTGGTGCCCCTGAAATCACCAGATATTTATCTCTGATCTCAGACAGAGCAGGATTGTCCTCTGGGATCTGCTCAAGAACTGTGATTGCAGAAAAGATTATGCTGTTCACATAGGAAGCAGGGCATCCAGTGATTCCTTGGCAACAAAATATTTCGAGTGCGCTTTGAAATATGTTAACTTTTATTTATTTTTAAAGGCGAGAAGCTGGTTATGTATGTCTCGTTGCTTAGGTTCAGAGGAATGTATAGTCTTTGTAAAGCTGGCCTGTAATTACTGGAGAATTTGATGAAACAATAAGGGGATTGTTGTGGGAATGTCTCCAAATGTTAAAAGTATGCTCTGCAAACTTTGTACCAGAGCCTTCTGCGGGGAGACGAATCAATGTTGTTAGGAGATGGTGCTAGTGCATTCAGTTTGTTTACTTTGGTTTTCTCCGTCTGCCTGCCTTCTCAGGAAACTTGCTTGGAGCCAGACTGTAGCAGCCCTCTCTCTGTCTTTTCATAATTGATCAGGGGATGACTGCCTTCCCTGAGGGTTAAGACGTGGCAACTTTTTCTGTTTGCTCAGCATCTCAATGCAGTAGTTCAAACATTGTTCACACCAGCTGGCAGTGTAATGCCATATGCACATCTTGTCAAAGCAACTGTTGTCATGGATACTAGAAACTATCTTAAAAACCAGCTCATTTCAGTCTAATCAAAATTGTACCTTTCTTTATCAGCGGAGCAGCTTTATTATTTTAGGGAATGTCGATCAAGTTGCATTTGTTGCGCTCTGTTCTACCTACAGCATGTTTTAATAACATACATAGCAGTGCGATGTGTTTTAAAGCTGTAACTGCTATTTACTGAGCTGGCTTTTAAAAAAAAAGAGTTCTTCAGGTAGTGTCAGTGTAAAGGTGATGAATCAGGTTTTTTTTTTTTTTTTTTAAATCTCCTAATAAATTCTGCTACGTAACACTTGGCATTTTGAAAACGATTTTACAGGCAAAAATAATTAACAGTAGCCTTCTTCCGGCAAATGGAATGTCTGTATACGTTTCGTATGTTTCCGTGTGTTTTGCTGAGTTGGAATGAAAACATAAAACAAATGAAAACATGTTATATTTTGATTGGGATTCTGTCATCCCCAGAGTCTGATCTGATTGGTGGAGTAGTAATTTCTTTGTTCTCTGATTTTCCTAAGAACGCAAATGAAAACCACTCATTTTTATTTGGCATTAAAACTGCACTTTATTTTGTCAAAGGAGAGGTTTCTCCTTGAATTGTAAGTACAAAAAGTGTTTTTAATCTTCAATGAATATCCTTATTAATTCACTTTCAAGATAATCTGATGTTGATTTGTCAAATTTAATTACAGCTTCCGGTAACACTTGAAGTCTACTTGCTTTTGCTTCAAAATTGTAATATGAAAATGCAAATTGAATGATAATTTACAAGGGAGTGGGCATTTTAGTTGAACACTCAAAGACAAGTTCCTTGTGGAAATGAGGCTATTGATGCAGTTTATGATTTTTCCTCTTCAAGCACTTTAAACAAATTAACTTTATTTCCTGCAGGATTTCATGTACATCCATAAATTCTGGTGAAGGCACATACATGTACATTTAGAGAATCCTTTTTATGCTTTAAGTAAAACAAAACCAAACTGAACTCTGAAGTCTATCAAATACAAATTGAACAGAAGATTGCATTTGTTCAAATGGACTTTTACATAACATTAACATTGAGCAACGTGTCTCTTTCTAGGAAATGATGGAAGTTATTTACCTTTTTTTTTCACTTTTAGGCACTCCAAGCAGCAAGACAGCTGCTTTTACAGCAACAGACAAGTGGACTGAAATCTCCTAAGGGCAGTGATAAACAGAGACCACTGCAGGTTAGTAAAGTATTCTTGCCTTTGGGGCCTTATTCTCAGGGAAGAGCGTGTGTGTGTGTGTGTGCGCGCGCACGCATGCCTATACTCTATTATGGTATATGTGTATATTCACATAAAAGAGCATATAGGCACAATTGTATGATGGTGACCTGCTTCTAATTCATAGAGAAAATTCGCTATGAGTAACAAAAGCCATGTGTGGTTGTAGATATTTATTTTAAAGGCCAGTTACAACAAGCGTCTACGAAGACTAAATCTGAGTTCAACAGCCACAGCACGAATGACTTCTTTATAGATATATTGCAAAGATTTGTGGGAGATTTCTCTACATACCTAGATTAAAATGTGAAAATTACTATGTTAAGACTAGGAGTAAAACTGTATCCAGGAAACACACCAGAATAACTCATCCACACTACATCTAAGTGACAAATCCAGAAGTGTTCAGAAACTACCAACACAACTGCAAGAAATTACAAAAAAGCTGCTTCTTTTGTTTTAGAAGAACGTTTGTCATAGTTTCATACTCGGATGCTGTCGGGCTTCAAATAATATTATGGTAAACAGGAGTTCTGTTACTGAATAATTGTTTTAGATGCATTATTAATTAAACTGTGGGTACTGTTTGTAGCAGGGAAGCATTTTATGCTTGAAACTTTTCATTTGGCTTGTTTTTTGAGGTGTTAGTTCTTTTGTGGATTTGTTGCTAATTCAGAGTTGCATATGAGATTACGTTCTGCTGACGAAACTGGTTCCCTCATTGTGTGGAACCAAATGTGAATGCTTAACCGCTGAATTACGGTATGTTGCAGACGAAAGATGTACGTGAGAGCTGATTTTGTTTTATTCAGAAAATAAAATAGTATAACTCTTACCACTTTCTCCCTCAAATCTATTTTTGTGAGTGAGTCTTTAGCCTATTGGGGCTTCTCCTGTTTTCTGATGGAATAGTGGGTTTTTATCTCATTTTTATTTTGGGGGATGCATAATGGAGGATCCCCAAACCCCAGGGCTTATCCTTTTTTTCATTGGTGAAATATTGTGAAATGCGATCACTCGTGCAATTTTTGTGTATAATTCGCATTGCCTCTTTTCTTCATGAAGAAATGTTAGACTGCTAACAGTTCCACGTTTTTATCTTTCTTCAAATATACTTTTAACATTGTATTTATTTGCTCAGATCCAAACAAGAACTTAGGGAAATAACTGAAGACAATGGAAAAAAATATATGTCCAGTTGGTATCCTGCCAGGCTGTAGTTGTAATCTAGTGTAGAAAGAGGGGAGGAGTTCTGGGACCATCTCAACTTTCCACTCTTTGCCCTTGACTTTGCTTTTATTAAATATCTTTTAAGATGAAGGCGCACACAAAGAGTAGTCATAAAGGCAGCAGCTTATGAACTATGTATTTTCGTAAGTTTTTAGGAGTGGAACTGCTGACCTTGCAGGGCTGACTCTTGGGGGTGATGGATTAAATGAAGGCGGTGGAAGCAGTTTTTTCTGCCAGCTGCTTGTTTGGAAAAGAACATCAGCAGTACTAGGAGAGTACAAGGTCCATCTAGCCTGACGTCCTCTCTCTAAACTATCGACATCAGATGCTTAGAAAAATGTAAAAAACAGGCAAAAATAATGTTTTCCAATAAACGTCTCCGGTAAAGTTAGTTTACTTCAACGCTCCAACCTGTTAACTGTAGCAGTTCAGGGGCTGCTGACTTCCCATTCAGCTGTTCCTTCTCTGCCATTGTCTGTTCACATTCTCCACTTATTCATAAGTCTGTTTTGCAAGATGAAAGAAATTTGCAGGTGCACTGTTTGTGCTAGGCATTGATGAAGGAAGAGAAAGCCTTCTTTGGAGACAAAAGCAGCCATATGCATAACCTAGCAGGACGATGAGAGGAGGAGAGGGAGATCTTGTGCTTTCCTACTCAGAAGGGACTAAGCTTGGCCTGGTACCTTTTAAACACCATGGGATGGGTATTGTAGAGACATCCGATATTACCTGTTTACCAGGAAGAGCCAGTGCCTTGTGAGTCACACTGATGAGGCAGGAAAGAGCAAATAAAGCAAATAATTTTCTTTTCAGAATTGTTATATGCTCCCTAAAGCCAAGATAACTGCATGTTGGGAAGTTTTCCTTCAGATGACCAATTTGCACACAGTGACAGTGGCCAGTAAAGCCTTGGACACTTAATTTAGTTCATTTTTAAATGACAGGAACATGGAATTTGCTCCCAGATTTCACTTTAAGTATCAAATGTCATGTAAATTGAGGTATGAGCACAAATTCCATTTTTATTTTATTTTTGGTAAAAAGGATATATACAGATTTTGAAAATGAGACCATTGAGCTTTTCTGTTTCTGTCTTTTAGTGTTACTACAGAGCTTTTCATTGTTCAAATGCAGTGGAAAATTACATTTTGAGCATTGTGATGTCTGTTTGGCCAAATACTGTAATATAGGTAATAAAATTGTACAGTATTATTATTTTATTATGCCAGATTTAATGGTAACTTTAGCCAGAATCTCCTAGGAGTAGGAATTGCTAAATGTGCCTAAACAACGTGAGGTTTGCAAGACAAAAACATTTGTGCTTGTGTGTTTGTGGTAAAGGAAAAACAGGCTTCTCTCAATATTTAAAAATATTTTAGTATTAGTGTATTTCTAATTTCCTCTAATTTCAAAGCAATTTACCAATCTGGCAGTTGCAGATATGTTAGAACTATATTATAAATCCAGTAAAAACCTAATAAAGTTTTAAAATTAGCTCATGCATCTGCGGGCAAACGTGGGTGTTAAGTGATCCTTGCCATTGCACTTTTCATCTGCCCCATATTTTGATGTAAACTATGCTCTTGTTCCACATGCCAAAGAAAGAAAAAGTGGCTATCTGTCTTGTTGTATTTGCTTAATATTTTTGGAAATAGAGTGTATGGTGTTTTTATTTACGTTCTCTCGGTTGTTCTTTAATGTGTCAAATATTTTAGTGGCTTGCAGCGCCTACTAGCTAATTGGCAAATTAAAAACTAATTGAAGAAACCATCAACTTGTTTCCGCAGCTTTGCAAAAACAGGGTTTTGGGTAAGTGGTCAAGTTCTACTGCGCTTTACAAAGCATATGGCTTTAGAGAAGCTCTAGGTTTTTTCTAGAAGAATTTGAGTATTTTTTATGTACTTTACATGAAAAATCTTTTTTTTTTTAATTTCTTCTTGTTACATGATCTACTGTAAAAGATAGAGAATTTCTGTCGCTGACTATTTGTTTTATTCTATAATGCCAAAATATCCTTATCTATCTATCCTTATCCCCTGTCTTTTTCAGGAGGTAGAGGTTTATATTTAGATTGTGAGTTAACACAATAGCTGCAAAAATATTAATTTTACATAGATGCTTATCTTGATCAACTATTACTTTTAGATTTACATTTTTCTGGGTTTCAGACTGCAGATGGCATAACCATTAGCATGTCTTATGCAAAACAGAATGAGAAAAACACCCCATTCTGACAAGCTTGAGTACCAATTGTAGTAGTGATTTTACTTTCATATGTAGCTATCCGAATAAATGTATTTGAAACATGTTTATATGTGCCATTCATTACAAGATGCATGAATTGAATGGACACAATCAGTACATACATTGATTAATGACATATCGCAGAGTAGTTAAATAGGGATTGTGATGAGAGTTGAGGATAATGTTAACCTGAGTATGATGAGATAATATCATTTACTTTCCCATTGTGCGTCCTGAAAAACATACTGCAGTAGTAAGCTTAAGATTTCTGTAGTACAGATTTTTGTTTCAGAGTATTTTGCTTTTCTGCAGAAGCTGTGATTATGGTGACCCATGGTAAAATGAGCTAATTACTCTCATGAAACTATTTCACTTTCTAGCACCAGATTTCCAGAGTAGGTAGATTAAGGAAAATGTCACTTTGACTCGTAAAACCTGTAGATCATTCTCCTGTGGCAAAAAATAACTACCCTTATGGCCCCTGAAGAATCTAATGTCATCTAGCTTAGGTTTAAAACTGGCAACAACTTGTTACGTTTACAGCCCTGAGAGAGACTTGTGGTTCTTCAAGGACTGTGCAGAGCCAAAGCACAATTCATAGGTAAATGCTGTCAGTTTACTGCCCTACTTGGGTGTTAGCATACAGCATTAGAATTATTTCCCTTATGCCAAGTAGTCAACTCTTGCTGCTCGCACTGCTTGGTCCATGATTCACATACTGCTGAAGGCTGTATAGCACAGTGATTTGGACAGCTAGTTACAATTTTATTTTGTTTTCTGTAAGATCTAGGAAAAGCCTAGCTCTTTTTATTCTCTGTAATGTCTGTAATTAAGTAGTTTATTTTCATAAAGTCCAACTTTGAACTTTATCTTGATTAGAAGATAGGTTAGACATAGATAATTATCTTCAATCTCATAAGTTAATGTATCTACCATTAGCTGGTTAGTTACTGTGTATAGTGATTTCTTCATGCATTCTATATCGGGATGGCATGTCAGGAAATCACAGCTCCTGGAATCAAAGGGTTAAGCTCAGTGTTTACCAAGGCTGGTGTATAAATATCATGCGGTATGGAGTGCTGAGTTGTTAAGGTAAGCTTTGTTTATTTAGCATGAGCACTTCATTGAAGTGTAATCATTTGATAAAATTTGGGAAAGGTAAGTATACATTTAAGTTTAATTACTTAATGTTTATTGCATTAGTGCATAGTATCAGAAGAATCTTGTTTTATAAAAGCATGTATAGGCAAAATGCAAAAATACAGATTTTACAGTTTTATAAAATAGCCCATTCAAATATAAGTACATTGGTATATGCTTGAACAAAGTGATTTTAAGCTCTGATTTGTCAGAGGTCATTGATCACAGAAAGTAATGTTACCATGGGTGAAAAAAGTAAAATGGGAAAATAATTAGATTGAAAATACCCTCAATATCTGAAATATTTTATGTTGGCTGAGATTTGAATAGGTTGTTGATGACCATAT